CCAGCCTGTGGCTGTGGAAGGGGACTCAGGTGGCAGGCACCTATTTTCACAGCAGCCGTGTCACTCAAGTTGAAGCAGTCAGTCTCGCTAACAACAGCCCCTGCAAAGACACACCCACAGTACAAGCAGCTGCCTCCTCAAAACCCTCTTTCCGTAATTTCACCAGCAGCGACCCACATTCCCACCCCAGTGTATTATTTAACACTCTCCCTACAGATCACAAACACAACAAGATTCTTACCTTGCAAGAAAAGGCGACCTCATCATAGCTCACAAAAAACAAGGCTTCATTCCCCACCCCTCTTCCCTGATGTCATCTTTCCCTCCTCATGTTCTATCCAACCTCATTGTCCACTCCCTGGGAGCAGTGCTCTTGCCCTTGTCCTTGCTGGGGAGGGCTAGTTTCAGCCAGGAAAAGGCAGCCAGGCTGAGAAAGCTGTTAGCGTGCAGACACTTTGTATTGGAGAAGAAGCATCAGGCTTACCAGCCTGAAGGTCTGATTTAAAGAGGGGTGTGGCAAGTCACCTGGCTCCTGCAGCTATCCAGAGAGAGACATAGTTACTGACAGAAAACACTGTGATTTCATGGCTTTCCTGGACAGTAGTTCTCAACCAGTGGTACGTGTGCTCCTGGGGGGAGACAGACGTCTCCTGGGGGGGTATATCAACTCACCTAGATATTTGCCTAGTTTTACAACAGGCCACATAAAAAGCACTAGCAAAATCAGCACACGTTCAGATTTCATACAGAATACGATGTGTTTATACTGCTCAATATACTATACACTGAAACGTAAATACACTATTTATATCCCAGCTGATTGATTTTATAATTGTATGGTAAAAATGAGAAAATGGACAATTGTTCAGTAACAGTGTGCTGGGACACTTGTAATTTTAGGTCTGATTTTGTTAGCAAATAGTGTTTAAGTGAGATGAAATTTGGGGGTATTCAAGACAAATCACTCATAAAACGGGAATGTTACCTACCAGCACTGTGCTCTTGGGGGAACCAGCCCATAATACTCATGGAAAACAAACACCTCCGACTTCTGCTTTCACCAAAGTCATGAAAAGGTGGGGGAAGCCCCACCTAAACCCTCCAGACAAGGGGGACAGGATAAGGACACACCCTTAGCCTCATTTGCAAGGAAAATAGAACAGATAGACATCTCCATTAGCATACAGCATGGAGAACAGATTCCAAGGCAAGAACAGCACTGAACTCTGGGATCCAGAAAGCAGGAAAGCACTGCCTGGTGGGAAATCTCTGCTCTCAGTGCTAGTGAGCCCAGGCCTGCCCACTCCTAGATCAGTAATGATCAGACCAGTTTTAGTACGAAAGCCTCATTGGGATCCAAAATACTGAAACTGCCTAATTGCATTACGAGCTCCCTGGAAGGTCTCCAACCCACAGCCAGGCATGATCAGTCTCTGTTGTGTAACAAACAAAACGACACGAGAATACTCCCTTGAACCATCCGTTTACCCAGAAACAAATCTAGTGTCCCCCTTGAACTCTTGTAACCCTCCCCCACACCCCTTACCCAGGCTCACTTAAAGTGCTCTGATGCCTGGATCTAAACTCTGTCAGGTCCACTAGGACTTCGTCTGCTCCTGACTGTGCTGGGGGCTTTGCTCTGCCTGTCTCCAACACTCTGGACCTACAGCTGCCATCACCACATGGGAAGCCCAGTCAGTTCGGCTGTGTCTACACTACATCCCTTTTCTTAGAAAAGGTATGTAAATTAGACACTTGAAAGTTGCAAATGAAGTACCAGAAATTTAAATCCTGGCTTCATTTGCATAATGGCAGCCAGGAATACAGGATTTTTCAAAAAAAGGGGGGGGGGTTATTTTCGATCGATTGATCCCCATCTAAATGGCCATTTTTCTTTCAAAAAGCCCTGTTTTGAAAAAAAACTGTGACTGCCATTATGCAAATGAGGCATGGGAAATTTAAATGCCAGCTTCATTGCAATGTTAAAGTGTCTAATTTACATCTCTTTTTCGAGAAAAGAGATTAATTTAGACAGCCTTCTAGTTTCACGGAGGGGTGTGATCTCTCTCTCTCCCCACGCCTCCAGCCCCTGTATAATCTCCTAACCCAGCTTTATGTGATCAGTTCTGGTTTGCTAGCTCTAATGGTTGTACAGTGGAGTCCGGATTATTCAACTCCCAGTAATCCGACACTCCGCTTTATCCGACCCTGCAGCTCCGGGGGACTTTGTCCCTGGGAGCTGTAGGGTCGGATACAGCGCGGGCGGGGACAACGGCCCCGCTTGCTGCCCCGCTCTC